AGGAAGTATAACATTAGAAGGTAATGGGATATCTATGTTATATGATTGTTATTTTGTTTGTAGGACGTAAAACATTAGAAGGTAATGGGATATCTATGTTATATGATTGTTATTTTGTTTGTAGGAAGTATAACATTAGAAGGTAATGGGATATCAATGTTATAAGATTGTTATTTTGTTTGTAGGAAGTATAACATTAGAAGGTTATGGGATATCAATGTCATATGATTGTTATTTTGTTTGTAGGACGTATAACATTAGAAGGTAATGGGATATCTATGTTATATGATTGTTATTTTGTTTGTAGGACGTATAACATTAGAAGGTAATGGGATATCTATGTTATATGATTGTTATTTTGTTTGTAGGAAGTATAACATTAGAAGGTAATGGGATATCAATGTTATAAGATTGTTATTTTGTTTGTAGGAAGTATAACATTAGAAGGTAATGGGATATCAATGTCATATGATTGTTATTTTGTTTGTAGGAAGTATAACATTAGAAGGTAATGGGATATCTATGTCATATGAATTGTTATTTTGTTTGTAGGACGTATAACATTAGAAGGTAATGGGATATCTATGTTATATGATTGTTATTTTGTTTGTAGGAAGTATAACATTAGAAGGTAATGGGATATCTATGTTATATGATTGTTATTTTGTTTGTAGGAAGTATAACATTAGAAGGTAATGGGATATCTATGTTATATGATTGTTATTTTGTTTGTAGGACGTATAACATTAGAAGGTAATGGGATATCAATGTCATATGATTGTTATTTTGTTTGTAGGAAGTATAACATTAGAAGGTAATGGGATATCAATGTTATATGATTGTTATTTTGTTTGTAGTAAGTATAACATTAGAAGGTAATGGGATATCTATGTTATATGATTGTTATTTTGTTTGTAGGACGTAAAACATTAGAAGGTAATGGGATATCTATGTTATATGATTGTTATTTTGTTTGTAGGAAGTATAACATTAGAAGGTAATGGGATATCTATGTTATATGATTGTTATTTTGTTTGTAGGAAGTATAACATTAGAAGGTAATGGGATATCTATGTTACATGATTGTTATTTTGTTTGTAGGAAGTATAACATTAGAAGGTAATGGGATATCTATGTTATATGATTGTTATTTTGTTTGTAGGAAGTATAACATTAGAAGGTAATGGGATATCTATGTAATATGATTGTTATTTTGTTTGCAGGATGTATAACATTAGAAGGTAATGGGATATCTATGTTATATGATTGTTATTTTGTTTGTAGGAAGTATAACATTAGAAGGTAATGGGATATCTATGTTATATTATTGTTATTTTGTTTGTAGGACGTATAACATTAGAAGGTAATGGAGTATATTCTATGTCTAAACATGCTCTAGTAGCCTATACTGATACATTACGTCAAGAAATGAAGAAATGGGGTGTACATGTTAGTTTAATAGAACCCACAGGATTTTATACAGGTATTACATTTTTGACAGCATATTATCAGGAACTTTTTTTGAGGAGGGACTGTAGCTCAGTCTGGAAGAGTGTCAGAATCTCAAGTTGTTTGTTTGGTTACAGACATATACATTTTGTTTAATAATTGTTGCAACCAAGACTGTAACATAATGGAATCCAATGTCTCATTATTAAAATGATGACCAAGCCTCAATTAGCTTTTGAAATTAATTCAAACCCATTTTAGCCTCATTTCAACTCGAAAAATGCTATGGTTTTAGCAACCTTGTATAAATCCTGAATAATTATTTTCCCTGTAAACATGTAATTAAAAATCAGAGGTAGATCATTTTGGTCATTTTGGCCACAGAATGATTTTAAAAATAGAAATACATGTATAGAAATAGATAGATACTTTCCTCTCTATTTCAATTTCTTTAGGTAACATGCAGGAACATTCTTTTAGAAGTCGACAAAATGAAGTCTGGGATTCATTAGATGAATTAACCAAGGAGACATATGGAAGAGAATATCTGGAACATACATATACCCATATAATTAATGCTACCCCACGCTACCCTCGTGACCTGACACCAGTTATACGCTGTATGCGTAGTAGTTTATTATCTAAAAAACCACGAGAGCGCTACCCATGTGGCACAGGAGCCGAATTTGTAATGACTTTTTACCCATTATTACCAATGTGGCTAGCTGATAGATTTTCAGCGGCTATTTCAATTCTGCCAAAAAGTGTTACACCTTCTGCATTACAGAGGTAGTAAAGCAGTATGGTTTTATGTGCTTAATCAAATGCTTAATGCTGAGTTCTTTTGTTATTGTGTCCAATCATGCTTTGAAATTAACTTAGACACAGGGGCAAAATATTATAAAATTTAATATAGAAGAACAATTTGTCATTAAAATGGAATATTTTGGTACTTTTGGTTCATATACTACTAAAGTCAAGCAAAGATATTGTTGCACATCAGAGTACAATTCAAATCATCATCATTTAAAGTCACAGTAACACATTAAAGTGACAGGTGCACCATTTTGCGGGAATGATTCGAGTCTTGAATATATGTAGATAGTTTTCAGAAGTGCTAAAATGTACAAAAATCGCATAATTCCTACAAAAATATCTCAAACTGTGAATTTCTTTTCCTGTTTCTATAGATGTCTTTTCTCTGTATGGCAGTGTCTCAAGAAAAGACGTGTTGACATGGATTTGAAAGCTCAAATTTTGACGATGAGTTGTGAATACTATTCCTGATTGGCTAAGCTAAAAAATTTCAGTTTTCTGAGACTAAGGTTTGATTGGTCAAAAAATGGTGCATCTATCCCTTTAAGGTCAATATTGCATAGTTATTATACTACTTATTCTACCTGAAAAATGTATGATGCATGTGCACATCTTTGTTAGGCTACAAAATACCCAATATTGTGTTCATTATAAGTAATGCATTAAGGAAGTATAAAGGAAGAATGTTTGAAACGTTCTCAAATGTGCTTAACAATCTATCTGACCATAACTTATTTATATAATTTCCATAATGGGCATTGGAATTTAATCTTGTTTGGCATTAAACCCTTTTATAATTTTATTTTTAAAATAATTTAGGAGAATATTTTTTTTTTTGATTAAAGTGCTGTATTATATAACTGGTTTGTTTGTTGCTTTTGTCTAGTGATTTATTTACTTTTTGTTTATTTTCATTAATTGTTCTTGTGCAACCACAAATATGTCATGTTATGTTTCCTCTTATATAAAGAATAAGCATAGCCTTTACAAAAATATATTTTCATACAAGAGAGCTGAAGATGATGTATTGTATTAAATAAGCATTTCTGTGTTTTGCTATTTGTAAGTTTTGTACCGAGTGCTTTAATGCTTCGCTGATTTGTTGTGTTTCAAAAGTCATTATTGTTCTATCTTTCATCAGTTTTTTCACCCCAGTAAAGCAAATTCTAATCTCTTAATTTATTTATGATATGACAACATTTTGTTATCACCTATAGATAAAAAAAAAACTCGCCAGTTATATTGAATAAATGGCCTCTTTCTATGTAAGGGTTAATTAAGATACAAATTTGCATCAAATGTCTTAGTAATTTAATCAACTTAATTTGCTGATAACTGTTTAAAAAATAGTATGATTTTCTGTTTTCCGTTTTAACCCTTTAAGATTGAGTGTGAAATAATTAGACCATCATACACCTAGAGAATGACTTAAACTGTATGTGACTTTGGTAATGGCCACTTAATCTTCTACTGGTGTTGAAAGGGTTAACTATGTTTTTAGACTATTCAAACAATCAATCAATCAATCAATCAATCAATCAATCAATCAATCAATCAATCAATCAATCAATCAATCAATCAATATCAAGTAATTTAATTTGAGAACATAAATATCATGTATTGACATCTAAAAATCATTCTCAGAATAATAACCACTGTTCAATAAGAATAAATACAATGAAATGATATTTTATTCCACAGTTCAAGTTGTAACTTAAAACCATTGACATTAGTTAATATTATTAATTTATTTTCCTACATATTATCTATCATTTATTTTTCAAAATAATTTATTATAAAAGTGCTATATTTATGGTCAGTTTGATGCATTATTATTTTTTTACTGAGTATTCCGATTTCATCCGCATCAACAAGGGGTCCAAGCAATGTCATTAATTGTTATATTGTTCTTAATTCATGTTTTTCCTTTAATCAAAAAATCGATAACTTGAAATTTATGGTACTAAAGTGCAGCTAAAAATATTTGAATTTATTAAAATAAATGCGTTTAATATTTCTGATATTAAAATAATATGCATCATAAAGTTTTTGAATTCATTAAAATAGCATGCATCATTATTTCTGGAATGTATTAAAATAGTATATATCATGTCCTGTAGCAGGTGTTGTTAGGGATTCCTGAAACCACTCTATGATTGCTTTTTTTCAACTCAACATCTGTTTTATTTATACAATAGAAAATTTTACATTGATTGAAATTACATGAGCATTCACATTAGGTATAATGAAATTTATGAATTCCTTGAAATACTTAGTCTGAAACATTGGCCCATATTTCAGTCTACTGCTGCTGAAAACTGTCACAATAGCTATCAGTGACTCAAATATGGCAAGATGTAATTGACTATGAAATGGAATTTAATATATATTGAAATTTGAAGCATGGATATAATTTAACCTTTTTCCCAATCTGATAGACATACATGTGTAATTGTAGGTCTATTTCTCTAGACTAACTTATTATTACTGAACATTTTTGTGTGGATGAAATAGTGTCATTGTTGTTCATCAAATATATTGTAATAAAATTCAAATCAACTAGATGCATGTATTTCTTGACTGTTGGGGACAAAATAGACTTGCTATTAGTGTTTGCTTTTATTATGTTCATGGCATATGAAACTGTGCAGGCCAAATTATTTCTGTGGTGCTGGAAATTCCCTCATTACAAACTCTGATTTTGTTATAAACATGCATGCTTTAAGTCAAATCTTTTTAAAATTTTAATGTGATCTTATATTGAAAAAAAAAATCCTTATGTAGCCTTTCTTATAACATTTATATGGAATAATATTTGTTGAAAGAGTGACAGATGCTTAATTATTTATCACAAACCTCTGTTGGGTTATTGTATTGATACAGAATCAGAGTCCTAATTTGGCATCATAAAAACAGAAAGAGTACAATTTCATTGATTGTAGTCTGTAGCGTTATTCATCTTTTATTATTATCTCCCCTACATCTATATGATTACATTCAGAGCCTATATGTTAGAGCCTATATGTTTATATAGGCTCTGTTACATTATATGATTGTAATTTGACCGAATAAATCATATTTTTGGCAATTATATGGAGGTTAGGTGCTGGATTGTAGACTAATCTATTAATATATCTGTATTTTTCTGCTTTACAATTCTGATGAAATGTAGGAAAACTGGATGTTAAATATGAAAAATGATAAGCGCCAGAGAAAACTGAAACTCAGTATAAAAAGACATCATTAAAGCGATGGGTTCGCCATCCATTTGATAATTTTACCTTGAGTCCCAGAAACACGAATTTTTTAGCTAATCTGTAATAGTGTCCACAGCTTACTACCGAAATTTGAGACTTAAAATCCATGTGTGTCCAGAATTTTCAGAATGTTAAAGTTAAAATAATATTAATATTATGTAGAAAAGACATGTAATAAATATAGAAAGAGATATTTGTAGTTTGAATATTTTATATTTGTATTGTATATTTTAAGGGATTATGCGATTTTGTACATTTATACTACTAACATATATTCAAGACCCAAATCAACTCCCGAAAATGGCGAATCTGTCCCTTTAAGTGTAATTTACGAAGAGCACTTCGTTTTGTTGGAAATAAAGTTACCCGTATATGAAAAAAGTTGTTTCCAAAGAATATTCCATAAAACAATGATAAATGAAAAAAAACAATTATAATTCAAAAACTCGCGATTTCTTGAACACTGGGAGCCAGGATTGACTAGTCTTCACAATTCTCGTCTGTATATAAGTTCCACACTTTCCTCGACAGACGTAATAATTGTGAAGTATTCGTGAGTCAGAGAGGGTAATATATCGGTTATCACAGTTATCTTTAATTGAAGACTAAAATAAACCAACATCTATTCTCAACAATCTACATAATATATTATTAACATACTCTCCAGATGATTTCTGTTCATTTATTCTTTGATACCGTATCATTGGACCGGTTGATAACCTTGTACATTTCAGTAAATAAAAAACAAGGCTCGTAGTCAAATCAAGTTATAGTACGGTGTGGGAGAGTGGAGGGGGCAACTATTTTACTTGGCTGGTCACTCGAGACACGCTTTATCACACTTCTGCTTCTGAACAGGACAATTATAACAGGGCGTTTTTAACGGCAGAGGGGTAGGGGGTAAAATAATGACAAAGTTACGAAAGCACAGGTACAGAACGTATAAGTTTTTAGTTTGGGTAGTGGGTGTTTTTACATAGTAACAGTCAGCTAGAGGAACAGTCAGCTAGTGAAGTAAGACATTGGCACCTTTATAATAGGCTGCTTAACCTTTTGATTCGCAAATGCTTAGTGATAGCTCTTGGATTGGTGTACAATCCAAAAAAAGTCTGATGCAGAGATGGTGCCATAATATAATATTCCTGACCACAAATTGTAACAGACCCCATTAACCCCCCGTCAGAATTAACTAAGAACTGGGATAACCATGGCTACAGAATTAACTAAGAACTGGGATAACCATGGCTACAGAATAAAGTAAGATCTGGGATAACCATGGCTACAGAATTAACTAAGAACTGGGATAACCATGGCTACAGAATTAACTAAGAACTGGGATAACCATGGCTACAGAATAAACTAAGAACTTGGATAACAATGGCTACAGAATAAAGTAAGAACTGGGATAACCATGGCTACAGAATAAACTAAGAACTGGGATAACCATGGCTACAGAATAAAATAAGAACTGGGATATCATGGCTACCGAATAAACTAAGAACTGGGATAACAATGGCTACAGAATGAAATAAGAACTGGGATATCATTGCCACAGAATAAAGTAAGAACCGGGATATCATTGCCACAGAATAAACTAAGAACTGGGATAACCATGGCTACAGAATAAACTAAGAACTGGGATAACCATGGCTACAGACTAAAATAAGAACTGGGATATCATGGCTAC